GCTGAGTTTGAATTACAGTGGGACTAAATGGGCTTTAGCTAGTATACCATGAGATGCCTATCAGAATCAGAAATCTTGTATTAGTCCCACAGCGGGGACATGTACATTGTTACAGCAAAAGTAGACGCAAAAGTGCCATAGCACGTTCAAAAAAGGCATGCAAAAATACAGAATAAGCTAACATATGCATATATAGAAGAAAAGCACACATTAGTTATACTAGAATAAAAATGAAGACAAATAAGTAGGAAAGTATACATCCATGGCTAAAAATGATGAGCAGCAACCTCAAGAACTTCAAGGGACATTATACAAAATATGATTGATGATGATAATGATGTTTATTGCACATTATTTCAAGAAAAGTGTCTATATTGCACATTGCCATTTTATTGCACAAGATCTCAACAGTCTGTATTTTGTGAGGGGGGGGGTCTACCAGGGGCCGTGGTGGTTGTACAGTCTGACCGCTGCAGGAAAGAAGGACCTCTCTCCGTGAGGCACCGGGGGTGCAGCAGTCTGTCCCTGAGGAGTTACATGGGGAGGATGTAGCACCAATGGATACATAGAAACTTAACATCTAGACCAATTTGTTTACAAATTCTAGCTCAGTGTTCCAATATCCGCAGTTGCAAACAGATTCACAACTAGGGATTGATGAGGTACAACAAAGATGCTACGGTAAGGGATGTCATCAACACTCCCAACTTCGAGATTTGGGCACCAAGGGCCGTAACCCTTAAAAGGACCCGAGCCCGAAGAAAGGAAGAACAACAGAGCGAGAATGGGAATTTATTTTTTAATTAGATATATTAATATAAAATGATTGGAAATGTATCTTTCTTTTGGCCCCTTTTATACTTATTGATTGTTTTTTTATCTTGTGTATTTGAACTAAAGGTAGAGTTTTAAGGTGCATGTATGTCTGTGTAGACATACCCCAATTTGCAATCTGTTAATAAAAAGTATATTCAAAGCATTGTTATTTCCAAAACAAAACAAAAGACAGCCAGTAATTTGTCTTGTGTTGTTAAAGGGTGTATTTGTTTGTATTTTTTTAAAACTGAGTGACCAGCTTTAACCCTGATTGGTTATGTCAAAATGGAATGTTCTACCCGCTAACAAAACATTCTGAGCAGGTATTCATATCTGAATTTGAGCTCCACCCAAATGTTAGGAGTGCTTCACCTCTAATTGGAATACTCACTTTGTTTTGCGGAGCGGAGGAGATACAGAGGTGAGCTCAATCTGTCGCACATCTTTCTATAGCTTATCTTACTTCTTTTTTTTGTAAGCATGGGAAAAGCTGTTTATAATAGGGGAAATGTAATAAATGATAGTTGAAACTGTGTAGATTTTGTAATTCAATCAATCAAATGTGAGTTGTCCAATGTAAATTGTAAAAAGTAAAAATTACACATTGTTTGCTTGACTCAACAAGATATGAGTGGCAGTGTCAGCATCGTAAGGGTAAAAAATACAAAAATATAGATTTAGCCAGATTAGTCAATTTAATAATTTGTGAGCTCAATTGTGCTTTGGAAATGTTTCTTAGTTTTGTTCGTATTGAAAATCAAACTAGATTTATTGGACTGCATTTATTTATTTCACAACCGGCAATGGATGCCAATTGTCACATGCTTCTGACAAATGTTTTCCTTTTTCCCTGTCTTCTTCTTCTAAAATTACAGTTTCATAAATTCAGATCACTTCAGGTTCACACATGAAAAGGTGATTTAAAAGCGTTTTCACGATGGGTGGCCCCAGAACTTTAGGGCAAGTTCTACTACTCTCAGCAGTCGGTGTCGGTACGTGCCCGCCTTATTTTTCGTTAATAATATCTAAACGAGGATCGTTCACTTACTACAGTAATACACATGGGAAAAATATTGAAATGACAAAAGTGCTTTCTTCCCTTAATTTCCTCAGTATGCATATCAGCACTGGTCTCTGCAGATGTAAGTCAATTTTTTTATTCAGCAGTAAATATAAAACTAGTTTTATGTGTGTCTTCTGTTAAATACTCAATAAATGTACTTTCATTTTGGTTTCAGTCAAACAAAACATCAGGTAAGAAGAAAGCTATCTTAACTCAATGTAATTCATGTTAAATTGTGAAATTAAGTGTAATCTCACTGTTTATTAGGTGTTTTCAGAAAACGTTTTTGGTTATAGAGATATTTAGATAATCATTTATGTTTTGATATTTGTAGGCACAGGTCGAGGGATATCTGAAAACTGGTCAGTATGTCAAAACAATATTGAAACTGTTATTTGACTTAACACATTAACACACCAATAGACAACAAAACGGAATTTTTACATTCATATTTGTTTTTGTTTATTTGTTTATTTTGTTCTAATAGCAATGCTATCAATCCAGGCAATGGTTCTCAAGAATCTTGTAAAGCAGAAAATCTACAAAATGCCAGTCAAGCAGTAAGTGTTGCAGAATTCACCCAAGAAGTACATTCAAAGTGCCAAACAAACCCAATGATGTTTAGAAAGTCACCACAGAGCATTGGTGATAAATGACACCCCCTTGTGTTCACTTGCCATTATTAAGCCAGGCTGCCACCTTCCTATGTTGCAGTGTAATACAAATTATTCAATACTTTTTCCCTATAGATATCTCATGCAGTGGACACACTGGTAAAGGAGCTATCCTGTAAAAGGGGTAAAAATGCAAGCTTACCAGAATACGAGGAGGAGGAGGAGGAGGAGGAGGAGGAGGAGGAGTTGGTAGAAGACCTCAGGGAGCTCGTGGAGTCAACTTTGAAAGTCTTCTCTCAACTGGTAAAAAACACAAACATTTTTATTTTTGTTATAGTCACAGAGAATCTCTCTTTGCCCTCATTCATTTAGGAGGAAATACCACAAATGAAATATTAGTCAATAACTACCCTACACGGATGAATGAAAGCTAGAAAAATTAAGTTTCAGATCTTTAGAAATATTAAATGTTTTCTGAAAGCATGTGCCATTATCTAATGAACTGGAATGGACTATTACTTAGTTGTCATGGCATCAAATTCCACTTGTTAAGGTACAAAGATGTTAAGGTACAAAGACAACAACACATTCATTCAGGATATACTTATTTTCATACATAAGAAAATACGTTTAGATGGAAATATATGCATTATGTATAAGTTATTGAAAATATAGGTTTTGTCTTGAACTTTTTGAAATAAATAATAATTATCTGTAAGCATAAGCTCTTGTTGGATATAGTGTTAAGACACACTAAATATCAATCACTGTTGGAATAATTCAACTTTGATGCTTTATTGGTTGGTGGTGGGGCTAAACCAATTTGTAACACTTAATACATTGTTAAGTTATTCACTAACATTTGTTTCCCATAGAACTGAGTAACACCAAAAAGCTAACAATCTGACAAATGCAGCTTCATTATTCAATGGTTTATGTCAACTTTTTCTTATAACAGGTCACCAAAGAGTCTGGATTTAATGTTCTGGATATATTTGGTGTTCTGGAAAGTCTGAGTCTTGGTCATCACTGTGACCCAAGATTCATCAGACGGTGGTTCAAAATAAAGATGGCTCCTCTTTTGTCCAATGTCAACAAACACTTCCTAACCCAACTGAGCAGACAGAACTTCAGCTGCAGTTCTTACCAAGAATTGTAAGTTTCGTAAATTCCCTTTTACTGTTGCATGATGAAATCTAACTGTATACCATGTTTATTTGTAAAAGCTGCTACAAAATAACACAATATATTGAGACTTATGAGACCAGTAAAATAAGGAGATTCAGTTGTAGGATTTCTTTTAATGAAGGTTGATGAATGTCAGTGGGCTGGATGGAGTTCTGTAGCGCATGGAAATAAAGTCAAAAACGTGTTCACTTTCGCAGCTAACAGTGCACGTTTTATCACAAAATCGAACAACAAAAGTAACTTATGATCTTCATTTTTGTTGTTATAAGAAGAACAATAATTAATATGTATTTTCAAGGATTGACGCTATGAGCGATGAGCTGGAGGACTCTCAAAAAGAGAAGACAAAACTAATCTACCAACACTTCATTCATGCCTACCTATCAAGAAAGGATTTACCAGGTAAACATATAACAAATGGTAGGCTTAATAAATACAAATGATGAACTCAGAAGATCATTAACACTCTAAAAACTGGGTTAATAACAACTATTTAGAATTGCATACACATTAAAAAACTTTTCATTAGACTATTTACAAGGGCATAACAATAAACCACTCACAAACTACCTTGTTGATATTAAAACATACAAAATAAAATGTTTGGACTCTATATATTATGACATGATATCTCTTTATCCTACTTATTATTCAAAAGAGCCTGACTGCACAAAAAGTGTGAATGGCAGTGCAGAATGGCTGGAGAAAAATCTTGGAATTTTTTCAAACTTATCAAGTCTGAAGGAGCTTAAAGAAATCAACAAAAACTTCTCTGCAGTGAGTAGTATTTTATTCTATAAATCACACATATGCATATGTGTAATTTTGTATAATAATGTTTGTATTTCTGTTCTTGGAAATAATGATGTACAAGCAACACAATAAAAAATCAATTTGTTGACAGAAAAAGAGTTTGGAACAACTCTCACCAGAGCAGAAGGCGGAGCTGATCTTGGATCCAGACAGTGGAGTTTTGGAGGATGAGGCCCTGGTAAAGAAAGTATTGACAAGCTTCAAAGGGTCATCAGACAATGAGGAGTTTAAGGATTTCTTCAAAGCATTTGCAAAGAACAACAAGCAGGTGAATGCGTTACTTAGAAATTGAACTTTTTTTAAATCAAAAACATGCCTTCAAACCAGCCATGTTATAGTTGACCTGGGCTGGGAACTTTTTGCAGAACTTAAAAAAAGGCCAGGAATTTTGTTGAATTGACTAAAATCATTTCAGGAATCTAAATGTTCTCCTGTGCTGAAACATGTATACTTTTATTTCCAGAAAAACATCACCCTAATCAAAAATCCAGGTGTACGAGACACAATCTTGAACCTGACTTTGACGGCCCTTGCGCCTGAATTTGAAGGATTTGAGCCTGAAGACTTTAAGATGTTGTTCCAGGACCAGTTGGCTCCTGTCTTGGCGAGCCTCCACCCTGGCAGCTTGGCGGTTATCCCCAATAACATCAGCTGTCACTCCTACAGAGCTATGTAAGAGATGATGTTCCTAAAGTCCACAGTTAGACATTATAGGTTTGCATAATGATGATTTCAAACGTTGGCACCACACAAGTGACAAAGATTGATGTGCTCTTTCTTCAGACTCGCTGGTTTTGGGCAAAGTTTGGAATCCCTGCCATTGCACCTTTCGGACAGCCTGAGATCAAGCATAAAGTCACTGAAGGAAAGATTCACACGTACGTTTCAAAACACTCTGCTAACAAACTTTTTTTTTAGAAAACCCAATTACCATTACTTGTAACGATAGCTGTATTGATGACATAACTTCATTTACATTTTCTTCCAAACAGGTTGCTCACTTCCAGACTCCTTCATGGTGAGTTCATTAACATGGGGATATAACATGGAAAAGGCTTTGCAATAGTTGATAACAAATGTACAGGACACACGTTTGGCATACAAACATGATTTATATTAAGGAGCTTCATTGAGGTATTTTGAACTTAAACAAACTTTTGCCACTAAACTAACAATTATGATTTGCTTTTCTCCAGTGCAAGAAGACCCCGGTCAATGGTAAGTCTGTCAATTACCAGACATTAAAGCGTTGATGAAAAGATTGCATTGCAAAGGTACAATATCTGATACGCATTTTTGTCTTCTCACAGAGAACCTCATCTGTGCTGCAGTCAATAGGTAAGTGTATAGCAGATGTGTCCGGTGCTAGGTTTGCGGAGTTCTTTTACACAATCTAACTAAGGTTAAATGGTTGTTTTTCCCCTCAGATCACACGTCCAAGAAACACTATCTGTTTACAATTCCTCTGAAGCGCTGTGCCGTTTTACCCTCACTGAGCATGCTTGTTCCTCGGTAAGTTTGTTTTATGTAAGCTATCAATCCCAGAACAAGATTTGGCTTTTGCTACACGAGCCTCCTGAAACTAATAGCCATAGGATCTGAGACACTTTGCTTTATTTCTTGTCTATTTCTTTCCAAGGCTACACATCTAACAGCCAGCAACTTGGTCACATTGATGAACTGCACACTGGAAAGCAACAGGACATACCCGACAGAGGTCTGGAAGCTTTTATTCCAAAAAGCTTCTCCTGAACTAGACAAGGCTCTTGAGACATTCGCAACCATGGTAAATGCCACATTATCACAAAATTGGTGTTTTCCCGTGCCAATTCTGTCAAACCAAAATTATTTTCCAAATTCCAGGCACCAGGCAAGAGCAACCCATCCTTGTCACATGCACTTGAGGCTCTCGGAGTGGTGAGAATTGCCAACTTCAGCCAGACACAACTGCAGAGTGATGACTTTGTCAGCAGCTGGTTCCAGACAAATATTCGTCCGTTTTTGGCCTCCACAACCCCCAACTTCCTATTCTGCCTCAGCTCCAAGAACTTCAGCTGCGAGACCTACCAGACTGTGTAAGCAAACATGTGATAAATTGCTCTACTGTAAACATTGATGGCAGATGAACCTGCCTATTTCTAGTTGGTTAGATGTTTACAGCCTTCTCTCAATATTTAGCATCAAGGCATTCAGCAGTCAAATGGCATCCATGGACAGAGAACAACAGCAAGCTGTCTACACTCATTTCATCCGGCCATTCCTTTCAAGAAATGACTCATCAGGTAAACGCAGGCACTCAGGCTCAATTAGGTCAAGTTGTGTTGGCATGTGGTTGGTATACCCTGCCAATGTCATTGTTTCTGTCTTCTTCGCAGATCCTGGCTGTGTCTCCTTCAACAGAGGCAGTAAAGAGTGGCTTCAGGGCAACTTTGGCAACTTCTCTGGTTTTGCAACCCTTCAGGATCTGCAACATCTCAATGCCAACTTCTCCAGCGTAAGTAGCGGACCTTGGTTGTAGAGCTCAACTCCCAAACAAAACCAGTTGTTGTTCAATAAATGTTAAATCAATATTAAATTATCAATTGTGTTACCATGACTACTTAAAACTTGACTTCCAGGATGTACAGTGACATGAACCCACTCGTCCCGTTTTGTAATCTGCATGAGAGTTTGATTGTAAGACAAGCCTAGACAATCTAAATGTAACAAGCAAAGGGAACTTTTTTTCCATTATCCAGTAGGTTGCACATTTTTTTTAACAACTAAAGCTTCATTCATTATAGATATTAAACACTAAGTACTTGCATAGGTCAGCTGAAAAAATGCCAAGTAGGTTAACACAAACTAGGAATTTGTCTTGGTGTTTTTGGTGCAGACATACATAAAAATAAAACGGTGATAAAAAAAACAATTTAAAGAAAACCATAATTATTAAAATATAGCAATATTTACATTGAATATATATGAAATAAACATTTTGTTAAATATGTGTGCAGTTACAATGCATAAAGACCTTTAAATTGTATTGGGAAACTGGCATGTACATTTCTTACACATTATTTGTGCTATGTCATTGGACATAGCTTGCTTTTATTCCTTCAAGGCAAAACATATATTATATATAAATATAAGATACTGCAAAAACTAAAAAAGGTCTGAATCTACTGATTAGTGTAGTGGCAATTTCTTATTTTACCTTATATGTTAAAACCAAATGCTTCTAAAAGCATTTTCTAACACTACTGTACCATTTCCTGATATATGCTG